AATCTTATTCCCCTTGTATTGATTCCTTGTCTTATCACATTTTCAAGTAGTGTTCGATCGATTACGTATTAATCTATATTCGCTGGATTGGTCTGAGGTTATCTATAAAAAATATTTGTCTTTCTAAGTCACTTCCTTTCTTTTTGTCCAAGTTTCTTCTATTCTAACTCACTTTTTTCTTTGTGAGTTTCGGGAATATCCCCATTAATAGGTCGAGATCCACATCTATGAATTGAAAAGTTCGAATGATCAACTCTGGAATCAGTTTTTAGAATCAATAGGTCTTCAAAGAGTTTGAATTTTCCAAAATGGAAAGCCTTCTTATTGGATGATCATGAGACTTCCCAAAAAGAGAAATTCTTGATCAAGAACAATATAACCATTTCTTTTTCTTCAATAAGATATTAAAGTGGATGATTTACTCATTCCATACTAGAAAGAATCGCAGGAAACCCTTTGATCAAACACTCCTATTTCTCAATGATATCCCACGATCAAGGCAATTGGCTAAATCCTGTGAAACCATTTCATAGAAGTTCATTGATATCTTCTTTTTATAAAGTAACTCTATCTACTCTGCTTCTATTGTAACAAAAGATTCCCTTTTGATGTATGTTGGCTATGTGGAAAAGGCCCGTATCAATAATTATGATTTGACGTATGGACAATTCCTCAATATCTTGTTCATTCGCAACAAAATCTTTTCTTTGTGCGGCGGTAGAAAAACATGTTGTTGGGAGAGAGATACTATTTAACCAATCGAGTCACAGGTATCTAACATATTCATACTTGACTATTTTACACAAAGTGGAAAGGTATAACTTGTACAAATCTTTCTATTTTCCAATTCGATCCGATCCATTCGTTCGTCGAGCTATTTACTCGATCGCAGACATTTCTGGAACACCTCTAACCTAAGAGGGACAAATAGTCAATTTTGAAAGAACTTCTTGTCAACCTCTTTCAGATATGAATCTATCTTATTCAGAGGGGAAGAACTTGCATCAGTATCTCAATTTCAATTCAAAGATGGGGCTTTGATTCACACTCCATGTTCTGAGAAAGATTTACCATCTGAAAAGAGGAAAAAACGAGAGTCTTTATCTAAATGCCTTGATCAAGGGCAGATGTATAGAACCTTTCAACGAGATAGTGCTTTTTCAACTCTCTCAATTTGATATGAACCACGACCAAGGAATTTCCATACCTCAAGGTCCAATTACAAGGACAAGAGCCAAGAAGCTACAACAAACCTTATACAGTTATATTCAAGCTATGGTGAGCTCATCAAAGGAAATTCTAGAAGACGCTGGAGACCTCCCTTATATGTTGTGCAAAGTTGAGGTTCAAGAAAGAGATGAATGAAATGCACTTTAAGTTGCATTTAATGAACTCTGCTGAATTTATGAAACTAGTCCAAGGATGATTAATAAGCACATTTTATTAATTGCATTATTTAATTATAGTTTAACTATTTGTTTGTCATATTTAAGCTAGTTTTAAATATAGGAGTTAAGGTTATATTGTAACCCACATAGGTTACTATATTCCACCATTTACTAGCCATTTTAATATGGAGGTTATGGGTATTTCTCATTTACTAGCCCATTTAATTTGGGAGTTATGTATGACATAGGTCAAGGTTGTAAATGCTATATAAAGCCTTCTTTTCTTTGATTAGACATCAGATTTTGGAATTAAGAATAGAATTTCTATTTTAGCTTTGTTGAGAGCTAAACTTTCTTTGCAAATTCTTGTGTTTAGAACTTGCATGTAGAGTCATTCAAGTGGTATTGATCAAACCTCTTGTGGAGTGATTCGAATCACGAGTTTAGAAACGTGATATGAACCAAGAGACATCAATCATAACATATGCTTCAATGAAGATGTGAAAAAAATATTGTTTGAAATTATCAAAAGATATTTCAATTCATGCAACATTGAAGAAGAATGAAGTTTCATGTTATAAATTTTAGGTAGATTACAATTTAGAGTTATTGTATTTCATTAATGTATTTTAAGACTATTTATTTACTTTAGGTTGTATTTACATAATGGCTAATTATGATCATTAAGTATGAATGTTACAACTTTTGGTATGCCTTTCATAGTTTCATTTTGAGGCTATATAAAGCCATGTATGTTGTATTTGTAAGGTAGACTTGGAAAATATATATAAAAGAAGCATTTGTGCTTTCTTTAGCCAATGGCTAAGTTTCTTTGCAATTCTATGTAGTTTAGGTTGCATGTAGAATCATTCAAGCTCGACATGATCAATCTTGCTTGTGGAGTGATTCGAATCTCAAACAAGTGTTCTTGCGTTGAGATATTTGATCAACAAGAATCATTCAAGCTAGACATGATCGATCTTGCTTGTGGAGTGATTCGAGTCTCAAACAAGTGTTCTTGCCTTGAGATATTCGATCAACAAGGTAATCCGAATCTTATTCCCCTTGTATTGTTTCCTTATCTTATCAAAACGAGTTTTCTTTACTCTTGATCTTGATCATCAAGGTAATCCGTTCCATACTTTCCCTTGGGTTGATTTCCATATCACAATTTGTAAAGGAATCTATTCCAAACATATATGCCATGGTTCCTTACTTCGACAGGGTACAAATATCTCACCATTTGGAGTTTAGAGACTTTTTAAGACCTATTGCCAATACTAAGTAGCAGCCACTAATTTGTATCCATTTTTCATGAGATTATGCATGGATCAGGTATATCATGGGTCATTCTTCACAACAAATTGTGTGTGTCTTCCACAATGGAATAAGTGAGATTTTGAGTCAGTGTTTATATAATCTTCTTCTGCCCCAAGAAATGATTCATCGAAATAAATAATGAGTCACCATCGATATCGACACATCTGAGATCGCCAAATGTTCGGGAGTTCCTCTATTCAATCCTTTTCTTCCTTCTTCTTCTTGCTGTATATCTCGTTCGTACACATCTTCTCTTTCTTTCTCGAGCCTATAGTGAGTTATAGACAGAGTGAGAAAAGGTCAAATCTCTATTGAGTTGCAAAAAGGGTAGGTATCCCACATCTTCACTTCATTCTTTCTGGTTAAAGAATCTCTTTCTAGTTGCTTTGGAACAATTAGGAGATTCTCTAGAAGAAATAGGGTAGAGGGTTCTGCTTCTGGTGGCAACATGCTATGGGGTGGCAGTCCCGCTTATGGGGTCAAATCAATACGTTCGAATATCAATCGATCTCATAAATGTCATACCACATCCCATCAATAGAATAAATAGCTTTTTCGAGAAATACGAGACATCTAAGTCATACAAGTAAAGAGAGATATTATGGATTGATGAGAAAGAAAGAGAATTCTTGGTTCAGTTCTCCACCTTAACGACAGAAAAAAGGATTGATCAAATTCTATTGATTCTGACTCATAGTGAGAATTTCTCAAATAATGACTCTGGTTATCAAATGATTGAACAACCGGGAGTAATTGACTTACGAGACTTAGTGGACATTCATCTTTAGCAGAAAGACGGACATTCCTTGCTCATTATCAGAAAATCACTTATTCAAAAACCTCGTTGTGTGGCTAACAGTTTGTTTGAATTTCCAATCTCATGGAAAACCCTTTTCCCTCCGTTTAGCCCTATCCCCGGGGGTGTTTTAGTGATAGGTTCTATAGGAACTACACGATCCATCCTATTTTGTTAAATACCTAGCGACAAACTCCTATCTTCTATTCATTACAGGTATTTCTGAACAAGTTCCTGGATAACAAGCCTAGCCTAAGGGTTTGATCATTGATGATAGTGGCTTGATGATAGTGACGATATCGACCATAACCTTGAGGCTGGAGCTTCTAAGATAAATGCGCTATGGATATGATGCCGGAAATAGATCGATTTGATATCACCCTGAAATTAGAATTAGCAAAAGCAATCTCTCCTTGCCTAATATGGATTCCAAAGATGAATGATCTGGATGTGAATGAGTTGAATTACTTATCCCTTGGTCTATTAGTGAACTTGATAAGCGCCTACAATGCTAGAATTTGCAAAGCTAGAGGCCCTTCTAGAATCCTTGCAAAACGCTCACAGAGAAAGCTAATTTAACGGATTGATTCCAACAAAGAGCTGGTTAGAAGATGAATGACTCTTAGATCGAACTTGGAATCTATGATGGTCACTCTTAGATACTAAGACAATTCACTCCAGAATTAGCTTGATCAAAACTAATTCAATGAATCAGTTTAAACATCAAACCTAAAGCAAGGTTTGAAAAAGAATAACACCAAAAGGGTATCAAGAAAACACAAATGTTTTTTCTGTATTCAATAAAATCCCCCAAACATGAGTATTACATGCCTTTAAATAGGTCTAAAAGGTAACCCTAACATAATATAGTTCAGCCACCTACCACAAATTACTAATAAATGCTATTAAATACAAATTGAAGCAAATAAGGCATTAATAAATTTCCTTAATTGGTAATTCAACTACCAAAGGCAAGTCTTCTAATTAATTTCCATAAATTTCCTTAATTGGTAATTGAACTACCAAAGGCAAGTCTTCTAATTACTTTCCAATATCAACCACTCCATTATCTTCTTGATTTGATATGCTAATGCTATAAAGATTTTTGGGCTCAAAAGTCTTTGTTTCAACCGGTACACTAGCTAGCTTTTGATGATGCAATGTATAGGCCTCTTGAATCTTCTTAACCTTGCTTCTTGTAATCGGTCCTTTGGGTACATGCAAAGGGTCAGCAGTTGAATTCATATCAGAACTATCTCTCCAGGGATTGTAAAAGATGTTCCACGCACTAGAATCTTTCGACTGGAACGAGAATCTCGATAACCTAAACAGAAATGCAGAAGTGAGCCTACTCCTCTCTCCCCCTTTTTTAGCCAACACCATCAACCCCATTCATTTTTCACCTTGAATGAGTCAAAGCAAAAAATAGAAGATAAATAGAAGGAAAGGAGATCAGAAAGATACATGGACGACTTGACTCTCGTATAGGTCGGATGTTTCCGTGAACAGTAAGCAGTGGATCTCCCCTGATTTTGGGAAAGCTGGTGGCTGCGTGTGAATTCTCTTTCAAGGCAAGGGGCCTGATCGACATTCTTGTTTACTCTGATCCGGTCGAGGTGGTTTCCGTTTACCAGCGTGTAGGTGGTCTAAGTTCCTATGACCGAGTCTTTCTGACCCCTGTGAACATCTTTTCGTAATGTATTAAAGAGGGCCTCTCTAACAGGTGAAAAGTGGTGGGTGTCCACTAACGGCCATTCCTGGCTCGGCTCCGATAATGCAATTCTGGGAGGAGTCGGTAGTTTGGCACTGGATCCCTTCGGACCTGGAGAACCTAGGACGCTGGGTCGAGGTTTGGTGAACCAACTGTCCTCTCCTTTACAGTCTCGCTGCTTCTCTCCTATTTATTTACTTCTATAAAGAATAAATAGGTGTTTTCATCTTCCATCCTGGACTGATTGAACAAGGTAAAGCGTCTTCGCTCCTCTCCTTTACAGCCGAGTGTCTTCGCTTCTCTAGTTTCAGTATCGGGCCCCTTTTTCATTGCCTAGATTACACCTTGTGTCTTCGCTTCTCTAGTTTCAGTATCGGGCCCCTTTTTCATTGCCTAGATTACACCTTCGGAATACCCCTAAAGGGAATTTTGCTCTACTTCCCTCAATCTTCACTTTACACCACGTTGACGGCCCTTTCATCATAAGGCGTGGAATTAGACCAAGGGGAATCTCCATAGGAACTAGTCCCTCTGATTTCACACGTAGGAGATCGAGACACTAGCCCAGAGCTATGGACAAGTAGATCGATCGCCCTATCTCGTCAACTAGATGGAGGGTTTGACCTTGTATATATGTACTTTGATTTCATTCCCCCCGTAAGATCAATATCACAACCAATATTCTCAGAAAGGGGATTTTTAGATATCGATAGTTGTCTGGTCATACCCAAACAGTAAGATTCCAGAGGAAAATGCACCTAAGATCAAATATTTTGAGCCGGCTTCCGTGGAAAATTCAAACTTCCTTTTGGATGCTGCCATCACATAAAAACATAAACTTTAAGGCTCAATAGCTAAATACATGGAAATTGAATCATGAGCCTAGATCATAAAGAGAATGATGCGAGTAGGAAGTGGAGTTAATACAATGAATTCAAAAGCATCAAACCTCTCTTGTTCGAAAGAATTGAAACACATCGAAATGGTACCAGCCGTACTTAATAATAGAAGGATTTGGTAGAAATATGTCAAATTGTCCCTCCTAAAAATATTATTCCAGAATAAATGGGCAATAGTTAGGAGAGGTGCGCCAGCGGCAAGTAGAAGCAAGGTTATTAGATACCTTAGGAAAGCCCGGCCAGAACCACACTGATATGATAAGGAATCAATACAAGGGGAATAAGATTCAGATTACCTTGTTGATCAAATATCTCAAGCCAACAACACTTTGTTTGAGATTCGAATCACTCTAGAAGCAAGATCGATCATGTCTAGCTTCAATGATTCTTGTTTATCAAATATCTCAAGACAAGAACATTGTTTGAGATACATGCAACCTAAAGTACATAGAATTGCAAAGAAACTTAGCCATTGGCTAAAGAAAAGCACAAATGCTTCTTTTACTATATTTTTCAAGCCTACTTACAAATCCAACATACATGCCTTTATATAGCCTCAAAAATAAAACTATTGAAGGCATTCCAAGAGTTGTAACATTCATACTTAATGACCATAATTAGCCATTAGGTAATTGTAACCTAAATAAAATAAAAAGTCTTAAAATAAAATAACTCTAAATTACTCTAAATTGTAACCCACCCAAAATTTATAACAATCAAACTTCATTCTTCTTCAATATGGCATGAATTGAAACATCTTTTGATAATTTTAACAACTTTTTCTTCACATCTTCATTGAAGTATATTGTATGATTGATGTCTCTTGGTTCATATCACACACGTGCAAGTTTCCCTGCATGTGGCTCGTCCGTGAGAACTTCTTCAGATTTGCGTGAACTAGCGGACCGATCACTCAGTGTGGATGCTCCCTACAGCATGAGCGAACCTTTTCAGAACTGCTTAGGAATGGGCGCCACGAGACCGGCCCAAATCTAGCCTGGTTCTCTTTCTTCTCATCTACCCTTCCCAACAATTGTACCTTGTCTTGGGGCTTGGCTTTACGAGAGAAAGCCCGCAAAAAAGTCTTTCTCTTCCTTCTCCCGTTCCAGATCATATTCAAGTGTGTCCACAGAAGAGGAAATCGCAATGCATCTTGCTCAGCAGGCGTAGCTTGGAGTGGGAGTGTATGTAGTAGGGTGGGTAGTAAGGTAAGGAGGCCACCAAAGAGGAACCCAAACGGCCTATTAAGCGCAGCTAAGCTAGGAGAAAGCTAGGTGCCGGAGGTAAGCTCTATTCGGGCCGGAGCATTGATTCCCCATAACGAATAAATAGGCTAGCTCGAGATCTCAATTGCCTATCCTATGTTCGAGAAGGTCCCGCAGTTCTTGGGTAGCACCTCGAGGTTTTGTTTCTTGTCTTACATGAGACTCGAGATATTCCTCACTCCATGGCATGGCACCTTTTGCTCATCCATTCCGCCTGTGCAGACGCCCTTTTTCTTTCATTATCATCTACCGCCCTTTCTTTCCTCCCGGCTATAGGTAGGAGTACATTATGGCAGGATCAGTCACCGGGGCAAACACCCCTCCTCCAAGAAGAATTGTGCTATGCCCCCCCCTGATCCCTATAGATGGAAGGAGTGCCTGGTGATCCCTAGGTTGTAGCACGTCTGGTCGTTAACTCCTCGCGCTGCTGCCGCCGTTTCTAGGACCGACCGATGCCTCACCTGCACAGGTACCTACATAATGTAGTGTCGGTGGCACATTCAACATAGCGTTCGAACTCATGTGCCTTCCAGAACTAGGGGTCTTCGAGCTTGCTGCGTACGATTAGCCAGTCTTGCGGCGGCAAAAGGATTAGAGGTCCCCCCATGCTATGGTTCCCTGCGACCCGAACCTGGTGCCACATTAGGTTAGGGAGTTTGGCGATAATAGCTCCTCTGCGCCCCGTGCTGCCCTCCTAGGCGCGCAACACTAAGTAATCCAAGCCAACCCACATTACTGACTAACGGTGGATAATCATATTTCTTAGAGGTACTAAATACAACTCCATGAATGAGAAAAATGAAAGTTGCATTAATGATAAAGATCTCTGGGAAAACCGCTAAAAAAAAGATTGAACATGTGGGTGGAAGGATCCGAATGAATTTTGATTTCATTTCCCCCGTATAGAGCATTGAGTTACTTACGTTTCGGTCTTTAATAGGCAGGCTGCACTAACGACGGCGGCTAAGAGGGATTGCTAGACCAGCAGCCAAATCAACAATGAATGTATAATGCTTGTGATTCCACACCAGGCTCAACAATAAAGAATTTTATGTCGAAAGGCCTCTAAACAAAAAAGGAGTCCATGACCCCGCGTATGAGGTCGAATTCCACACTTTTCTCTCGAGTATACTCATCATCATCATTACCAAAAAATGGATGTCACTTTGGGACACATGCAGATAGCCGCCCTATCGAAAGGGCTAAAAGTCAACCAAACGAGCTCAAACTCTTTTTTTTTTTAGTTCCCTTTGAGTTCCACTTCTCAAGGAAAGTAGAGTTTTATAAAAGACGCCACTCTACAAGGGAAGTCCCCGGGTCGAGTCTTTGCGAGTTCATCTCAAACAAAGCGAACCCCTTATTTACTGGGTCTTGGTCAGGAAGATGCAGATAAAACGCCAATAGCCTGATACGACATAAGCTTTATTTAAAGAAAAGAGCTATCAATCATCATCAATTTGTCTTTCTCTCTCTCTTTCGAAAACGAAACAAAATCCGTTAATAAATGACGAACCCCCTTATATAGATGATAGGTGTAATAGCCGAAAAATAAATAAAGAAATAAACAAATAAAAAAAACTTTATAAAAAAAATAGTTAAAATAATAATAATTAATTAATTAAAATTAGAATTAAAAAAAAAAAAATCATTCCCCACCTCTCTCCACTAACCCTTCGTCCCTCCCCACAATTATCTCTCCTTGACCCATCCCACCTGCCAAAAAAAAATAAAGAAAGAAACAGAAAAACAACAATGGTCAGATTTGAAAAGAAGTACAATGGCTTTCAATATGCAGATTTAAAGATTTTTGTCAGTTATTACGGTAAAATCCTATCTCAGATTTCCTTTTCCTTTATAGTTATGGTGATAAGAAATTAATTTAGGATCAAATCTTCTTTCCTATCTTAATAATCAGATCCCATATATAATTATTAGATTTTTGTTAGCATTTTAATTATACGAAATAAGGTTATAAGTTAGATTCAATAAAATTTTAGGTGGCAAATCTATAAACTAAAAGATCGTAGCCTATACTTAAAATTGGCCAGTAATATCTATTTACACCATTGAAAAACCTATTTACAGAATAAAAAAGATGAGAGAGAGAAGGAGATTGAGGAAAGATTTGTTAAACAGTATTTAACAATAAAAGGAAATATCAAACGACAGTGAGCTCCTTTCAATTTTAAAACCTATTTACAGAATGAAAAAAATGAGAGAGAGAGGGAGGGAGATTAAGGAAAGATTTGTTAAACAGTATTTAACAATAAAAGGAAATATGAGACGACAGTGAGCTACTTTCAATTTTGTGTAACAGAAAACATCACAATTTTTATCAGAGGACAGTGAGCTTCTTTAAATTTTGTCTAATAGAAAAGATCAGAATTTTACTATGGGCAATGTAAATTAGGGAAATAATTTTATAGAGTTCAAACTTGAAACTGATGTCATGAGCTCATATAGGTTGACTTGGATTTCAAAGGACGGAATCAAACTTTCATTAAAGATATATTTGTGACAATGACTTAAGCGAGCAAGGTAAGTGACCTAACTATCGGCATGGTTATATTTGATGTTGACACGTGCCTTGTGGTTCTGCACGTGTCATATATATTGATATGTGTGAATTGTCTGTGGATCGATATGCTTCCTATATGTTATGTTATGTTATTATATGTGGATTGTATGATAATAATTAGGGTACGATGTGCTCTAAGAGATGTTTGAGATAGGATACGAGAAGGATGCACAAAACGAAATGTAACGATAGGAGTAAGATACGTTCATGAAACGTTAAGGTTAGGTTACATACCGAAGGGCTATGGATAGGAGAGATTGATGAAAGAATACGGTTAGGTTATTGGTAGAAAGGGATAGGTTTGTGATAGATTGATAGAACGATGACATTAGGATACGTTCTGGTGATGATACAACTAAGGTACGTCACGTAATGATATGTCTGTGATAGGTATAAGAACGTTAAGGCTATGGTAAGTTAGAGAACGATATGACTATGAAGTGTTTACGTTATGACATGTTTATGATATGGTGCATTGTATGCTAGATTATTGTGCTTAAGTACGTAGTTATGTGAACGTGAATGTATGTTATGTATGCTGCTTAGTTGAGGTGATATGTTATGCATGTGACGATGTGTGGCCCTTGAACGATTATGGCTTGTTTGTATGAATATTTGAATGTAGCTGCATGAATTGAATGACATGAAATACGGTAAATTGCACGAAACATAACCCCGCTAGGAATATGTATGATATGTAACGAAATGAGAAGGAGAATGACATGTAAGCATGAAAATGTGACACGGGGTTATGTTCATTAATGATAACTGTAGGAATAGTGGGACCTCATGCATATTGTGTGTTCATGCATTTGGGGGGATACCCCTATCCCATCACGAGGGTACGGACGTGTACATCCAATGGTAGGACAACGATCGTTATGCCCTACATAGCGCTGCCGTGACGGTTCTAGTTTTAACGGGTCCCGGTAGGCTCCTAGAGCTTGCCCACCGGCTAGGGACAGTGGCCCAACAGTGTGCGAACTAGCTGGTGAGCCCATACTCGCACGTATGGGCTGCATGTAGAGTATATGGTACACGTCCACAATTACCTGTTAGGATTACACCGTAGGGAAAATGAAACGAAACGAAACGAAATGAAACGAAACGAAAGATAGGTCCCATCATTTCATTGCATGTGATTGTTGCATTTAACCCCAATAGTGGGGTCACTTACTGATATTTCTTTAAATACTCAAACCATGTGCTACTACATTTTTCAGGTTAAGGCAAGGCATTCCTGTACGGCTGACGACAGCATCGCAACTCAAGATCATGACACATGCATAGGATACTGGCATTTATTTTCTTAGACTTAGGATAGAATAGGATGTTTTAAACTTAAACGCTTATTTATTTTATTTCGAGTCTTTTGTTGTGTCGTTTTAAAGATGTTTTCGAAACACGTAAGTCCATGGCTGTGTTTTATGTTAAAGGTTATGTTTTATGGAATTTAAATGTAGTCTTCCGCATTCAATGTTTATGGTATGTATACAGTAGCGACCTTAAATGAAGTAGAAATTTTTGGGTCGTTACAATAGGACAGGGCTAAGGCAGTAATCTCGACGGAGGTCGGATGAGCTTTGATGAATAAAAGAGGACTCTGTAGAAACTCTCATGGGTGAAGCAAATCAAACCCATTTTCGGACAAAGAAGATAAAAAAAACAAAACGAGAGTGGCTACGAAAGCCCCGGAGATTCTATGGGAAATTGGAAATGTCGAAGTGAGTTGTGGCTTATAAATAGGAAGATGAGGAGATAACAGGCGAAGGATATTCATGATATTAGGTTCGATTTATGTTGTCTCGCTCCCCTATTCTTTATGGTCGAGTAGCTTCGCTTATTCGCCTCTACACCTTGGGCTCATAGCTGAGCTCCTTGATCGCAGAGCGGCATACCGAAAAAGAAAAGAAGAAAAAGCCCATCTTCCATTATGGCCCCTCTTTCACTATCAAGAGTGGGGCGAGACTATATTGCTAGAAGCTGATTTTGCATTCTTGGAAAATGAAAGAGAGAAGATTGCGTTCAATATTGCGTTTGACCTGATAGTTTATGGAGCTATCATCTTTCCTAAGTTGCGTTACCAGCCCCGGGAAAAAGATTTTTGCTTTTTTTCCAAGTTCTCAGGATCAAAGCGCTGCGCATGCGGAAATAGAAATCCGAGCGAGACAATCCCCGGCGGAGCATTTCGGCCTGGACCTGTTCTTCAAGGACCCCCCCTGTTCTGGCTTTGAGCGACCCTTTCTTTCGGGCCTCCACAATCACCCTAATGCGGGCTGGATCCCTTTCCCTGTACACATCCATATAGGGTTCGCCTCCTCAATCAACGGTAACTTCTACTTCTTCCCGTGGAGGCAGATCGAGATCCATGTCCCACCCAGGGAATGAGTTTGAGCTCGATGTGCCTGAACCCCGAACCATCTTGACCTCGCTAAGTACGGGAAGCCGCTTACCGTCCGTACAGTCATCCCAAGAATCAAAATCAAGTCCTTTTAAAGAGAATGCGAAAAGCTAAGATCCTTCTTTATTAGAAAAATGAATAAGAGGTTGAGCTCAACATTCAACTTCAACCTTTTGATGTTGAGAACCCCAAGAAGATCTCGTACTCTTTCATGTGGAATCATTGCAGTTTGTGAACTTTGAGTTTGGACTGAATTAATAAGGATGCCCAGATATACGAAATCCTAAATGAAGAGCTCCCTCCTATGTTAACACCAACAACTTGCAAAAGAATGATGTAATGAAAAAGAGTGAACAAACGGGAAGCGCTTCTCTGATGTACTGACCCAACAAAGAAAGATTACAGTATGTGCCTCTCTTCTTTCTGACTTTTCTTGTTCTACGCTCAGGATCTTTCCCTCCCTAGGTACTCAAATAAGAATGGAAATTTGTCTGTAAATCCCCGTCCTTCTTTTTCGATTGAGTCTATAGGCGTGAAATAAGGTCTATTATCAACCTCTCTATATGAAAGCGTGCAAAGATGCCTTCTACCATAGGCTCAGAAAGAGCGCAACTAATCAAAGTGAGACCAGCTCGACTCAGATATCAAAGAAAAGTTGATTTGTGTGTAACCTACTCTCGGGAATCCATAGATTAATTTTGAAGAGTAAAACGTAAGCGAATGAATCCATGCCGGCCATGCCAATGATAGAGAGAGGAGTACGACATATGAGCTCAGACCCTTATGTGAGCTTACCTACCTACCCTAGCCTCCCTGCACGTGCCCATGTCCGCCTCGCTACTCTTCTTTCAGGCATATTACACTAATTCCTGATTTTGAGTAAGGTATCATTACGCCCCTATGAAATGAAATAACACATTTTTTATCTAACTTGAGATCTATGATATTGATTGCTTTAACACGTCCCGTCCTCTTGCTAAAGAAATACGACCGACGATACAAACAGATATGTGAGATGATTGATAGAACCTATATTGGAGAGTGGAAGGAGAAGTCTCTATTTACATAACGGAAATGATGGGAATGAAGAACGGGCGCCCAGCCCATCCATCTCGAGCGGAGAGCTAACCAGGAATGGGTTGCATTTGAATAAAAGAAGGAACTCAACCGAAGAACTACAATTGAAACAAGACCAGGTAAAGAAGAAGAAGAAAAAGAAGAACAAAAAACAAGAGATTTCTCAGGAAACCCAGAAACTCAAATAGAAATTGTCGAAAGCCTAACACAAAGAGTATTGAACCTTAATAAAAGCATAAGTCTGCCCAATGCTCCTTCGGTTTGTTCTTTATTTTGTTCTTTCATGTGCTTTCTGTAATCCTAATTCTTCTTATACCATCGCTCAGCGGATCTGCCTACTAATCAATCTTGTTGAAGTCAAAAAAAGAGGTTTGACCTATCCCGCTATGTCCTAAATACCCATTTCTAGTTCTTTTGAAAAGGGGCTTTGCATTAAAGACAGTTGATTCACTAAAGTTCGAAGTTACTAGAATGTATGTATTCTTCAGGGTAGAATTTATGAAAGTCATTCGTACTGCACGAGATTAATCAAATACCGGCGGCGGATCCTGGTAATGATTCTATAACTGGCACATCTATCTTTTGCTCCTCTCTATATGTATGTGCTTTAGCCCTGCCTACCTAATTTGTGAATACTGAAAGAGAAAGAGATTCGTCTTGCTTATGTGCTTGCTTATTGGATGGAGTGCAGGGTAGATGCTTCTAACCGAACGGCTCTTTGCTTGCTTCACCCAAGATGCTGTTTTATTCTATGGATTATAAAAGTTAACATTCTCCAGGAAACCCCGATTTCGTTAGTGTTTCGGGAAAAGGGAAATGAGACATTAAGAAAAGGAAAACAAAGCGCCCTCCCCTCTCCTCTTCTCGTCGAGCGGCTTCTCCCCTCTTCTCGTCGAGCTCCTTACTCTTGAACCGATATGACCTTCACTTTACAGGAGAGTCAATGTGTGACTCTACTCTATTATCTGATTGAACTGTAAACAAAGAAGAAAGAAGAATGAAACTGTCAAGTAAACACTATCGATGAATGAGACGGAACTAGAAGGAAAGAAGAAACTCAAGAAGAATGAAAACTGACGAGTGATAGAATAAATTCAGGGAGAAGAAAGATGAATGAGACAGAACCAGAACCGAGAGCTACTGAACCAAAACCTCAACCCTCTCCTCCCTTTTCTCGTCGAGCGTCTTCGACCCTTTGACTATCTGACTTTACAGTGATAGAATAAATAGGGAGCCAAAAGAAAGATGAATGAGACTGTAAACACTATCGATGAATGAGAGTGAACTGTCAGACTCACCTCAAGATTAATGAGACAGAACTCAATCACTTGTCCCTGATTTCACTCAAACACAAGGTAAAGCGCTATTTGAAGAACTTGCCCCTAAACTCAATCACTTTCATAACAGTAAATAAAGACTCAAGGAAAGAGTAAATCAAAGAAGAAGACTCCTGATCCTGTAAAGAACTTTGATTAATTTGTTGATGCTAGACGACTGTAAAGTGTCGTAAGAGCTTTTTCACTAACAGCAGCGGGTTCAATTAATGAAAGTTTATCTAGATGACTGTAAAGTTTCGTAAGAGGTTTTTCCCTCGGTAAAGTTGCTTCAATGAATTTTTTTTGTATCTAGATGACTGTAAAACCTCTAATCGCTTTTTCCCTCAGGAAAGTTGCTTCAATTAATTTTTTTTGTATCTAGATGACTGTAAAAGATCATTTTTTAGGTAATTCAGAAGGATGAGAAGAAGGTCAAGCTCCGGAACCGGAACCCATTTCTTCTTTCACCTACTTATTAATGATCCTGAACAGTAAGGAAAGACTAAACTCTCGAATCAACCTCAAACCGTCACCTCTCCCTATTTTTGAGGTCATTTAACTCTTTTACTCGACTGTAAAGCTGCTTCGCTCCTCTCACTATCGGTCTCGTAGTGATTAGATAAGGAATCAATACAAGGGGAATAAGATTTGGATTACCTTGTTGATCGAATATCTCAAGGCAAGAACACTTTGTTTGAGATTCGAATCACTCCAGAAGCAAGATCGATCATGTCTAGCTTCAATGATTCTTGTTGATATGTGGAAATCAATACAAGGGGAATAAGATTCAGATTACCTTGTTGATCGAATATCTCAAGGCAAGAATATTGTTTGAGATTCGAATCACTCCAGAAGCAAGATCGATCATGTCTAGCTTCAATGATTCTTGTTGATATGTGGAAATCAATACAAGGGGAATAAGATTCAGATTACCTTTTTGATCGAATATCTCAAGGCAAGAATATTGTTTGAGATTCGAATCACTCCACAAGCAAGATCGGTCATGTCTAGCTTGAATGATTCTTGTTGATCAAATATCTCAAGACAAGAACACTTGATTGAGATTCGAATCACTCCACAAGCAAGATTGATCATTTGGAGCTTGAATGATTCTACATGCAACCTAAACTACATAGAATTGCAAAGAAACTTAGCCATTGACAAAAGAAAAGCACAAATGCTTCTTTTAATATATTTTCCAAGTCTTCTTACAAATACAACATACATGGCTTTATATAGCCCAAAAATGAAACTATTAATGGCTTTCCAAGAGTTGTAACATTCATACTTAATGGCCATAATTAGCCATTATGTAATTGTAACCTAAAGTAAATAAAAACTCTTAAACTACATTAATGAAATACAATAACTCTAAATTGTAATCCACCCAAAATTTATCACATGAAACTTCATTCTTCTTCATTGTGGCATGAATTGAATACTTTTGATGATTTCAACAATATTTTCTTCACATTTTCATTGAAGCATATTGTATGATTGATGTCTCTTGGTTCATATCAAAAGGCTTCTTATTGCTCGTCTACAAATATCCTAATTTTGATGCCTAATACCCCATAGATAGTTCGAACTGGATAGCAACAATAATCAATCAATTTGAGCTCGAATGTTTTGTAGAGTAACCCTTCCTTCTCTCTCTGATCCATTCGACACATGGCATTTCTTTTCCGTCTATACGTCTGGCAATTTGTACTTGAATTCCCTTTCCGCCTGTTCAGTTAATTCATTCAATAGCTTTTTTCATTGCTTTGCGAAATGAAACTGTATTCTGTATTCGGCTATCAATTCTGCGAGAATATTAGGGGGTCCATAAGGATTTGCTATTCTTGTAAAATCAATGTTGAGTTTTCTCGGTTCACAGAATTTAATTCTTTTTGTACATTCATCCATCTGTAATTCTTCTACTTCTTTTTCAAGACCCACCTTCTATTAATAACTTTTGGAATCCCATAAAGATTATCACTTGAATAAGATCAATTCTTTTTTTCATTTCGATACGTATCAATTCCCGAGACTCTTGTCATGTCTTTTTGTACTCAATTCCGGATACAATCTCGTACTTTTTTATCTTCTTGTAAACCTTCGGAATCTTGAGGTGCGCAAACCAA